TCGTTCATCTCAGATACTTGGTGGAAAGCAAATTGCCCAAACAAATCTGTTGCCCAGGTCTTCACAGATTCTATATTGGTCTGCGTGTTGAAGCCACGTGCCTGCAATTATAAGCCTGTGTGAGGATGACAGAAGGTCCAGAAATAATGAATTAAAACATCTGGCTGCACACTGACATTACTCCTAACTCCCCAACACCATACCAGCCCTGATTCTAATACCATACTTAACAACAGATGCAGAGAAGCCCTTGTACTTATAAGAGGGCCTAAACACAAGCAGAATCTTAAGATTTACACTCAAGTACTTACTCTTCACTAAGGGTTACCTTTTCCATCTGATAAAGACAATTGAAGATATAACTTTATACTTTATGTGTAAATCATATTAGACCATACTATATTTTTGGGAGGGGGAAGATAATGTAAAAATACATTTTTTTGAAATGTGAACTTAATGGACTTCATAAATTAGTTTAGTGTTACTATAGAATATTGTGTCAGAATTTTATTGAGGTTAGCATAGTGCAATAGAACAAGTCCAGGCTGTTGCTGTAAAATCGTATAAAAGTTTCCAGAGCTGAAGAAAATGAGTATTGTACCAAATATTAGAACCCAGTTTTGCATTCTTCACTTTAATGATTAGCTAAAATCAGATGGTAAAATAGATTATAAAGTAACTTTTATAAAATATAATGCTTTGCAATTTTGATCCAGAAATAATTAAAGAAAATCAGCTTTCTGCCACACACACACACACACACACACACACACACACACAAATAGTGCAGGAGAACAAGGATCATATGGCACTATACTTAGTGAAACCATAAATGCCTCTATCTTCATTCACCCTTGTACAAAAAATCCCCGTTTCTTTTTCAGCATGAAATCTGAAAAAAAAGCACAAAAATATCCAGCCATACAATAATATCATAATAGTCTGTTAAGTAGTTGAATAATTTAACAGTAATTTGCCACTCGTTATTTTCTGAACAGCCCTATTTTAAATGCCTATAGCCAAATTCACATTGATTAACAATTCACATTGTTCATTCTCTAATTTTATGGGTCCCCATGCTTATAGCTTCTTAAGAAATTAATACTTTTTGCTATTTTTCTGGGCAAGGAATGTTGTCAAATCAGGGACCAGCAGCTTATGGACAGGAAGTAAGGAGGCTAGAGGAAGTACTAGTACTTTGTATTTCCTCTAAATGACCCCTTCGATCAATTGT